TCGTTGGCAGCAGACCTGTGGACTCCCTGCTGCCCCCTGCTTCTGTACATTGCCACAAACCCGTAGCGACGATCAGCGCTCTCACACACACACACACACGAACCGGCCCTTTCAGCCAGGGCGGCTGCAGTGTAGCCACTTCCTTCCCGCCAAGGGGAACGAGGCCTGGGTAGACAATACTAAAAACAGGAATAATCATACAGCACGAGTAATAGCACTACTCTCTTTCCCCAATCTCCAACTCCTGAGCCCGCATGATAACTGTCGTCCCCGAGGTGGTGGTTCCTTTTTGACATCGGAGTCTTCTTGAAGGGGGTCCCTTGTGGCAGAGGTCCCCTGGTGTTTCACAGATCCGATCCTCATAGAAACAGTAGAAGTTCCCCTTTTTTGTGTGACCCTCCAAGAGATTCGGTGGCACAGTTTTGAACGGCTCAAAGCACCAGCCAGCTCGAGGTTCAGGACCAAAACGTGTCCCCAGAAGCCATGGCTTTCTCACTCCGAGCGCTCCGCACGCGGACGATGCCGTTGGTGCGGAAGTTCTCGGGAGGCCCCTCGGCAGAGGCCATTGCTGCGATCCAGTCGAACTTCAAGGCGCATCCGGAGAAGGCTCAGGCGGCATTCCACTCTCAATCTCAACTGACCCATGGCTTGGTGAGCACTGGGAAGATGCGGGATTTCGACATAAAGGCCGACGAGCCCGCAAGCTTCGGAGGCGAAGACAGTGCTCCAAGTCCCGTGGAACTCCTCCTCTTCTCCCTCGCCTCCTGCCAGGAGATCACCGTGAAGGCCTATGCGAACGCCATGGGCGTGCCGCTGACCCGGGTCTCCGCGGATCTCACCGGCAAGATCGACCTCAGGGGTTTCTTTGCAGTTGATGAGAGTGTACGTGCCGGATTCAACAAGATTGAAGGCATCCTCACAGTGGAGTCGCCCGCAGATCTTGAGACAATCAAGCAGTTGAAAGCTGCAGCAGATGCACATTGTCCGGTGAAAGACATGCTGCAGGCAGTTCCTATGGAGATCACCCTCAATCACATTCAAAAGTGAGCGTACGGGATGGTTCGGCAAAAGCCGCAATGCGAACGGTTGTGTGTGCTTATGCTGTCTTTTGGATCTCCGCCAAGGCGCGGTGCTCGCTTCAACGTAGGACTTCCTCGGGGGAGACGGTCAGAAAAGCTTCGGGGGCCTGGGGAGTTTCGAGTGTTAACCCTAAGCCCTAAATCCTAATCCCCGAACCCTAAACCCTAAACCGTGAGGGCTCTCAACCCTAAATCTTAAACCCTAAACCCCAAATCCTAAACCCCAAGCCCTAAATGCTAAACCCCTAAATCCCTGAACCCTTGAAGCTTAAACTTGTGGCCTGGGCTATCCGCATGAGGGGGCTTTGGCACTCGAAGCTTCGACTTCTGAGCTGTTTAGGGGCTTCGGGGCTTCGTTGTTTTTTTGGGGTTTAGGGGCTTAGTTTGTTTTTTTGGGGCCTGGCAGGTTTTGGGGTTAGGGTCGGGTCTGGCTGTGTAGGAGCTCAGGGGTCCTGACGGAGGCTTCTTCTAAGAGTTCAGGGTCAGGGTTTAGGGTTTGCTTCTCATGTTTTGGGGTAATACGGTAAGGTCGCAAGTTCGAGCTTGCGATAAAGTCCCCTAGAGCCCTTATCACATAGATATACTATACTATACCGCCAAACCCCAATCATCGTAAACCCTTGTGTCAGGCAAGACCCTGCGTGGTCTATCTGCATGGAAACTGCTCCTCGCGGTTGGAGGTCCCGGCCGAACTAGGGTTTAGGGCTTCAGTTTAGTGTTTAGTGTTTTCTTGTTTCAGCTGTTGCATGCTTCTTCCTCGGGAGCCTGGCCAAACATACAGAAATACAGGGCGACTGCAACGATCATCCAATGATCGTGATCCTGCTCGATGTATCTTCGACATGTTTGAGCCTTTTGAGCATCTCAATTGTAATCAATCATATTGGGACCGGGTCTCTGCTGCCACCAGATATCTCTTACTCAAGGGGTTTTGGCGGTATTGGGCTCTCTCGGAATGAGTACAGGCAAGCCATAGTTCTTTGCAATGGTTGCAGACCAAGGCAGCTCATAGGCCGTTGGCCGTGTCACGGTTTCCATATTTTCAGGCTTGTGCAGCAGCAAGACTAGGGGTTGTGATTCGGAGACTACGTGCGGGTGTGGGTTTTAGGTTTGAGGGATCAAAGCTTCGAACAAGTGGGATGCAACGTGAGTTATAAGTAGTACAGTATTCCCGTACAGGATCCTTTTTTGTCCTTTTCAGAGCCGACTTACTTAGCCCGTTGATCTGTCTGAGCTTTGCCCTACAATCCGTTCACCACAAATCCTGAAGTCCATCTACACCATCTGTACCCCAAGCCCAAATCCGCAGCAGTACCACTTCTCAAACCCCCAAAATCCGAGCATTGCACCAGTCTCCAGACCGTGATCTCTAAACCGCGAAGTATGGATCTGACACGTTCTGAAACCCCAAACCTTAAACCCTAAGCGGGGAACTATCGACGTTCACCCCCTGATGGTTGAAGGCTTTTGACGCACTTCCGGTCCTTTTGCCACTGGACGTCACGGTCTCTCGGACGCAGCGTTCACCGGATTAGGGTCCGGGTTTAGGGTTCAGGATTTGCAAAACGGACCCCGCAGATATCGGACCAAGTGCGGAGTTACGGTGATAAGGGCACGTAGCCGTGATCCTGCCGCAACCAGAAACAACCCGAAGGAAACTGCAAAATTGTATTTGGGCCTACTGAAGTCCATCTAACACCTGCACCCTTAAACGCAAGCCCTCAAACCCCAAACCCCTAAACCCCCAAGTCCTAGAACCCAGCAACCGCAAAGCCCTGCGATCCGAGGGTGTCTTGGAGGGTATCGGGTAGTGGCAATTCGGACTCGTAGTCTCTGTCTCCGATCAGGCTACATGGGTAGTTGTCTAAATTAGGGTCCCTTTTAGGGTCCTTTTTAATAAGGGTGCCGTACTATATTGGGGACCTAAAAAGGGACCCTAATCTAGAGAACTACGTACCCACATGGTAAAACACAGGGCTATAGGGAGGTGACGCGACCGTAGTTGTGATGGGTTACAGTCACAGTCTAAATCCCAAACACCAGATGACTGTGGGTGCTCTTAGCGTGGGTTAAACGTCGGGTTTTTATTGGGTTTGGGGTTTAAGGTTTAGTGGGTTTCAGGCTTAGGGTTTGTGAAAGGTCTCGTGCTTCGGGTTTTGCTAGGGTGTATGTCTTAACCAGCCAACACCCAGTTCAATCAAGTTATGCAGGCCTTTTTGAACTCTACCTATTTGATTGCAAAAATATGTTTTTGTCGTGTCGGGCTTGCTGGCACATGTTCGGTGCAAACCCCCCAACTCCATCCTAAGACCCAGCCAAGGTAACTATGAAGAAAGCTGCTATGTGTGCATAACTATGCTACAAACCAGAGAGAATACATCCAGAAGATAAAGGCATACGACTGCTCATCAGCACAGCTCCTGCAATGCGAAAGACCCTGAGCCCTTAATAGGCTCTTATTGAAACCTTAAACCCTAAGCCCTAAATAGGCTCTTATTGTAGTAAGAAGTCACGGCAAGGTCTTCTCATTGGACCTTTCCGGCTCTGGGAGGCACGACGCGGGAGTTTCTTGAAGCATAGGTCTGCTTCTTGTGATAGTGTTTGCTGGGTTTCTTAACCAACAAGGACACAAACCCAAACTTTAAGCCCTAAACCCTAAATCATCCATTTAGGCTTCCGGGCCCTGGCTGAATCTCGCTAAGCTCGGCGCCGAAGCTTGATTTCCTCGGAAATTCCAGGGGCTTAAAATTACCAATACTGTTGCAGGGGTCTTTTACCATAAGGGTTTAGGGCTTAGGGTTTCTTATTATAAGTATAGTACAAGGGCCCCAAAGCCCTATTCTAATTATAGTAGGTCCACTGCGGCCTTTGTTTTGGATTCCGACACTCCTGGCAGCTGTGATAATGGAAAGGAAGAACTACTTGTTCTTATACTTGTTATGCTTTTGGTTGTGATTATAGTTACTATTGCTACTGTTGTTCTGGGCAGAGGAGTGAGACTGAGAGGAGCTGAGGAGCTACATGAGAGCTCCGTCGCCTCAGGTCGGATGGCGAATACATCTCCCTCGGCTACCACGAGGACTTCTGCAATGCCCGGTGTTTCTGTGCCAAAGGCTTCATTCAGGGCTTCGATTCACGACCCTGAAAGCCCAAACCCAGAAAATACCATCCCCCCCCCCCCCCCCCCCC